GATCGAAGTTTATCGTACGGACGGACAATGTGGCCATGAGCTACTTTCAGACCCAAAAGAAGCTGAGTCCGAAACAAGCTCGGTGGCAGGACTTCTTGGCCGAGTTCGACTACGTACTGGAGTATAAACCAGGAAAGGCCAATTCGGTGGCCAATGCCTTGAGCCGGAAGATGGAGTTGGCCAACATTGTAAGTCGACCTAGCTGCCCATGGATCGACCGTATCAAGGAGGGGCTCCAGCACGATCCAACGGCTCGGCAACTCCTTGAGTACGCACGGGAAGGAAAAACCAGGCAATTCTGGTGGGAGGACGATCTCCTCTACGCTAAGGGACGGCGACTATATGTGCCGCTCTATGTAAGGCTAAGGAAGGAAGTTCTGCAAGAGTGCCACGATTCCAAATGGGCAAGACATCCGGGAATCCACCGCACCATGGCACTCGTTGAGGACCAGTACTACTAGCCTCACTTGCGGGACGACGTCGAGGCGTATGTGAGAACATGCCTCGTGTGCCAACAAGATAAGATCGAGCAACGTTCGCCGTCGAGGCTCCTCGAGCCACTTCCCGTCCCAGAACGTCCATGGGAGAGTGTCTCCATGGATTTCATTGTGAATTTACCCAAGTCCTAAGAGTGTCGGACCCTCATGGTCGTAGTGGACCGATTCTCCAAGTATGCGACATTCGTACTCGCGATAAAGGATTGTCCGGCCGAGGAGGCGGCCAAGCTATTCGTCAAGCACGTTGTCAAATACTAGGGAGTCCCACGGACGATCATGAGCGACCGCGATCCTCAGTTCACTGGGCGGTTTTGGACCGAGCTCTTCAAGTTGCTGAGGTCGAACCTCAACTTTTCTACGAGTTTGCATCCCCAAACTGATGGACAGACGGAAAGGGTGAATGCACTTCTCGAGATATATCTCCGGCACTATGTGAGCACAACACAGGTAAATTGGGCGAGACTAATCGATGTAGCTCAGTTCTCGTACAGCTTACAGCAGAGCGAGTCCACAAACCAGAGCCTGTTCGAGATTGTGACGGGGCAACAGCCGCTCACTCTAGCACGGTTGCCTCAGGCTATCAGGGGAATAGCCCCTCTGCATATAAGTTCGCCAAAGAGTGGCATAAGCAAGCGGACTTGGCACGGGCGTGCCTACACAAGGCCTCCAAACACATGAAGAAATGGGCCGACAAGAAGCGACGGCACGTAGAATTCCAGGTTGGGGACCTAATGTTGGCCAAGCTACACGCGGTCCTCCGATACAGGGACATGCACAAAGGCTTGATCCGTCGCTATGAGGGGCCCTTTCGAGTGCTCAAACGGGTTGGGAAAGTTGCATACAAGCTGGACTTGCCACCGAAGCTCAAGCTACACCCGGTGTTCCATGTAAGTATGCTTAAGCCTTTCCATATGGATGAGGAAGACCCAGACCGAGAAGAATCGCAACGGGCACCGCTTGGGGCAAAAACCTCGTATGATCGAGACGTCGAAGGCATCATAGCTGTCGGATCATACGGAAGAAGTATCGAGCGCCAAGGCGAGAATACTTGGTCCGCTGGAAAGGCCTTCCGGAGGGTGAAGCAAGTTGGAAACCCTCCGAAGCTCTTTGGCAATTTCGGAAGCACATTGACACATTTCATGCCGAAGACGCGATGAGGGCGTCGCCCAATTAGGTAGGGGAGAATGACACGGCCCAAGGGAGCGAAGGGCTCCAAGCCCATCCATGTATGAGACGCGGCCCCTTACGTGCATGGGACGTGGCCCATGCAGGTCTAGGTGCAAACATCATCCGTGACCCTTTAGTTGCCTCTAACACACGACCCTGCAGCTTCCCTTGGCAGGCGCCCCTTGAGCTTCCCCACGTCCCTAGGGCCCCTGCAACTTCTTGAGTAGCTATGTAATGATTATATCGGTTCAAACACCACCGTTGGATCATGAGGGGATCAACGGATCAGATTAGACCCGCGCTTGTATATATAGGGGACCCTCCCCCTTCATTTGTACATGCCCTTTCTTGCAAGAAATATAATTACGCAGCTTTCTCTCCATTCTTGTGAGTTCGAGTGTGTGTATGTAAGACTGACTTGGAAGTAATCCTAAGGCTGCACGGGTGTGGGATCGTTGTTAATCGATCGACCCGTAACAAACCTTGCGTCTCGGTTTCAAAAACTTAGAATGAAATTTTTTTAAAAAAAATGGTACTTTTGAAAATACAGCTCAAGAGCGATATCTTAAAGAGGATAATAAGTGCACTTGATTAATAAGTGTCGATTTAGATTGGACGTAAATCATCTTGGTTCCGATGGGATATGGTCCGTCACGAAATTTAAAATATGGTTAAGTATACGTGAAGTTATATGTCGATATTTGAATATCGTAAAAGTTTCGAAAGATTTGAGAGCTTAAGTTAAAAAAATATAATAGGAGTAATAAAAGCAAAACCCAAAAACCAATTGGTTGTCTTTTTGTCAAAGGAATTGATCGCCGTGACTTCAGTTCCGGCCGACGGACTTTCGAGACTAATACCAAAAAAAAAAAAAACCTTAGATTACAATCACCGTCGTACATCCAAAAGTCTAATTTATGCTCACCCCGACATCGATGCTAAGTGTCGCCGTGACGAAAATGGTTGATAATGAAAATAATTTTTATTGACTAATTATTTTAAGAGATATATACGATCATTTTTAAGATAATATTTTTCAAATTGTTTATTTTCCTAAAAATAAATTATTTTTGTAGAGAGACTGGTATTGTGTACGATACAACGAGCCCCCAACCCCAGGCCGTGGGCCTAACGGAGGAAAAACCACCTTCCACGTCATCAGTGCTTGGCGGGACCCACTTATTTGGGACCGTTCCTACCCAAACGAACGTTTAATTTTTATTTATTTTTGTTTGGGCACATTCATGGTTAGACAGCTATCATATTTAATTGAATTTATCTATCTTATCTATCTATCTATCTGTTAATGTATTCAAGTGAATTGTAGATTTTCAAGATTTAGTCCTCATCCACATGGTACTTTTTGTAGTATTGTTGCTCAATTTAATTTTTAAAATGCGAAAATAGCAAAATTGGCCCCAAAAAAAGGACAAAAAAAAAGGAGGAAAAATAAAAGGTTAATTATCCACTTTCCGATGAAACATCGGCGAAAATCCGAACACTCTTGTTGTTCTCTAGTACGTGTTATAACCACGCAGGATCTCATCTATTAAATATGTAATTTCTATATCCGAAATTAGAAACCCATTTTGGTAAGCTTATTCAAGTTAGGAAATTTGCATGGATTGAATTTCCTTATCTTAGGAAATCGCGCTGGCCGAGACTAAGAAACTTCTCAAACTAAGAAGTCTGCTTAAACTAAGAAACCGATTTTGATTGGGTTTCCACTCGGGGTTAAATCGGAAAACATACAAATCAGGAAATCTACTCGGACTAAGAAACGATTCAATTTAAGAAACCCGCTCGAACTCGAAAACCTCCGGCTCACTCAAACTGGGAAATCTACTCTAATCAAATTTTCCTTTACGGATTGAAGCTTGAGATATATCATCCACGCCAAATCTCACTAAAAAAGAGGCACTATTAATTTCGCATAGTTTGATAGATAGCGGTGTGATGTGTATATACTCAGCAATCAAAAGAGGGGATCTGGATGGCCTTGGAATCCTTTTATTACGGGATCTCGAATGTAATCGAAAACCGTTTTTCCTTAAATATATCGTAAAATTAACTGCACTTCCCTTTTTTTTTAAAAAAGATTTCTGGTTCCAGCGTGTAACGGACAGACAGACGGACGGCGTCGTCCTCTTCCCGTTCCGTTCGGGCCCCCGCACCCCCCTATATAAAGACGGACCGGAAATGTCTACCCGGTCAATTTCGCCACCGGAGGGAAAAGCCAAAAGAGCGTGAAGAAGGAGTCGAAGAAGAATCTCTCTCTCCCTCCTCCGCCTCCGCTCTCGCCAGGTCTCTCTCTCTCTCCTCTTTCTCTCTCTTCTCTTTCTCTCTCTTCTGCGCGACGAAAGGGACCGCGGATGGGCGCGCGTCGCATCGAGTTCCGAGCAGCTTCGCTGCTGCTCCCGCGAAAATGATTTCCTCGCAGTTTCCGCGCGCCGCGTTTCGCGGTTCCTTTTTCTTGTGTTCGCGTTCGCGTGTTCATCCTCGCCATCGCATCGTCATTGTCTCGCGGCGTCCCTTCTCGCGCTCCGTCGTCGTCGTCGCCGTCGTCGTCGTCGTCGGGGCTGCTGCAGGTTAGCTGCCCGCGCTTCGTCGTTTTTTTCTTTTCGCCGGCCTCTTCCCGATTTTGCCTTTCCGCGGGCCGAACTTCGCCCGAGTTTCGCGGTTCGCGATTGGAGGTTTTTCGGGGCGCTTCGGACGGCCGGGGCTGCGTTGGTTGCCCCCCAAATTGGCGCGAGAATTAGGGTTTTGCGCGGGACGGATGTTGTTTTTCGAAGCGTGATTGCAGCCATTCGCTTGTGTGATAGCGCGATTTCCGCGAGTCGAGTCGAGTCGAGTCCGGTGGGCCGAAATTGAGTGCTTACCGGATTTCTAAAGCCTGAATACTTCTCGTCGTTCCGTAATCTCGTGCCTTGACAGTTTCGCTTGGTTCGTCGTCTGTTTCCGTGACTTCGGGTAGGTCCCTACTCGTGAAAATGAATGTATTCGTATCGGTCGAGTGGCGTAGTCTGTATCTTTATTTTGTGCTATGTGGATGGAGTTGCGTGCAAGTATTGTTATCTTATTTAAACGCAAAATCTAGGTAATGAGCGTCCTTTCTCGTCTGTTTGGGGGTTGTTTGGACAGTTAATTAGACCCATGTAATATTTCTTATTCGTTCTCTGGTCTTTATCGCCTTTTTTTGGGGGGGTCCAAGCTGTCTTATTTTTATTTCTTTGGGTCGAACAAGCTGTCCTATTCAGTAGTTGTCAATTGGCACTGTTCTCAATTAGATATTTAATGGTGAATTGACCTAAGGAAGGCATATAATGCCTATCCTTGTCCTGGTGGCTGTTGAAATTTCTCCACTTCATGAATTGTCGACCGATTATCACTTTAGTAATGGTCCTTAGACGTGCGATTGATGATCGTTTGGTGGAATCGTTTCTTATCTCCTAGTTCTGTTCAACTATAGCCTTACGAAAAAGGTAATGAACGACCAAAATCTATTTTTTCAAAACTATTTTCTACTACTGTCTCCTGCACTATACTCAGATTGAGTGTAGGTTGTTTCTTGCTGGCCTTGCCTCCATTTACTTTGTAGGATAGGAAGTGAGTGATGTTTCTTACTGTAGGTGCTCCAAGGTATATGTCATATACAATTTAAAGATTTGTCTTAATCTTCAAAGAGGAGCGATATGCAGGGTCTATAGAACTGTATTTGATATAATGTCATTGACTGGGAAAAATATAGCAGTTTTAACTCCACCATCTCTGAACTATTTGGTTTGATTATCAAGTTAGATTTGGGTTGGGTATGGGAAAGCCACATATGAGAAACTGACTTGCACTATATGTTTTGAATTTATATCCTTTTGAAGTCCGTAAACACTACCCTTTCCTTATAGTAAGGATTTAGAATTGTCTGGGGCTCTTTTAGCAAGGCGATTTTTTTCATGAGTGATAGATTATAGCGTTTCTGGTGTCTTGCTGGTACTTTTGCACAGATAACAGAATTCAGTTGAGCTTTTAGCTTGTAGTTGCATCTTGCATAAGCAACCAGTGTTGGTGATTTATTGTTGAAGTGATCTCTCTTTCTCTCTCTCTCTCATGCACATGCGTCGTCTGTTTGTGCATAAACTGTGCATGCATCTTTTCCCTTTTGTGTCACAAATGAAATACCTGTGTCAATTTGACTCCATCTGTTGGCAGGCTAAATGCCGAGTGTAGCTCGTTTAACATGTCTATATCTCTATCAGTTCTACCCTTTTGGCATTAAGAATCTCAACCAATTAATTGTTGCATTATAGAACGGAGAAATGGGACAAGCGTTGGGATGTATTCAGGTGGACCAGTCAACTGTAGCTATCAAGGAAACTTTTGGCAAGTTTGATGATGTACTAGAGCCTGGATGCCACTGTTTGCCCTGGTGCTTGGGGAGCCAGGTGGCTGGGCACCTCTCTTTACGTGTACAGCAGCTGGATGTCCGGTGCGAAACAAAGACAAAGGTATGATAACCATCCTGAGTACAAGAAACTATACCTTTGTTTAATCTGTATTCATTTGAGAAGTTGGGAGGAGTTTCTTAAAGTTGAGTTGAAGACGTTTGAAGTTTTCTCTAAGTGATTTGGTTGTTCAGAAGCCCTTTAAGTAATGTAGTGTCATCACTTAAATAGAACCAACATGCGGAACGTCACCATCCTATGCTTCGATTTTATTGTTTTGGCAGACCTATGGCATACAGAAGCACGAAATCACGACTTAATATTTCCGACTACGCTTTTAAGGTTCTTTTTCATAATACAATATGACCTCTCTTTGTTGTTTCAGGAGTGACTTACAGTATTTCTAAGAGCTCTGACTATGAGATTTCATTCATAAGGCATAGATACATGTTCTCCTTGTTTCTGTTTAAGTTGATTAGTTGCCAGCATAAGCATGTGTGTTGGCTGGAAGCTGTGGCTTTAGAATTGGCACCACTTTTATGTTTTCATTTGTTGTAAGGGTCATTTTAGAAGCATCAAGCGGGGTGCCAAATTTAGAAAGGAAACAGCTCAAGCCCAACAAGGAGCTTATTGACATTAAATTATTAGTGTTTTTACTTAATGTTGACCAGTCATTATATGTTGTTAGATGACTTTATCTCCAGGATAATGTCTTCGTCACTGTGGTTGCTTCCATCCAATATCGAGCACTGGCAGAAAAGGCGTCTGATGCTTTCTATAGGCTCAGCAACACCAGGGCGCAGATTCAAGCCTATGTCTTTGATGGTATGGTCTCTCTCTCTCTCTCTCTCTCTCTCTCTCTCTCTCTCTCTATATATATATATATATATATATATATAAGTTTGACGTTATGAAGCATGGACACACAACATAATCCCTTAAGAAAGAGGAACATATCTCTGGTACAGAAGGCAGTGGTCAAGTTGCTGTCCCCTTCTTGATAGACATGTGGTCAGAATAGTTTTGTCTTTGTTTTTGACACGGTAGCGTAAAGTTTTTTGCGAAGAAGATGGATAATGGTTATTCACACTCATGAACAGATAGTAGTTTCATAGTAAGCTAAATTGGACTGTTTTGTTACGTCTCCATGAGTTGCTAACTATCACCTTGATATATAAATTCTTCCTTTTCGGAGTTGTATTTTTGGAAGACTTATTTTGAGCTGAATGTTTATTGAAAGTTCTTCCTCCGGCATTTTAGCAACATGATGCAACTTAAATATCTTTGGTGTATGCTAGCGAAAAGAAGAATTCCCCTTCCCTCCCTTCTCTGTGGTCATTCAAACCTTTTCATCTTTATGTTGAGGCAACAGAAGTAATCAGAGTTTGAGCTAGTTTGCTTATTTTTACTGTTTCTTTTTTATTTGGTCAGATATTTTTATTGTTTCATGAAGCATTGTTTTAGTGCATAGTTGAGATGAATTTTCGTTTGCATGTCGTGGGATCTTAACATGAAATTTTTTAATGCACTAAATCGTTGGCCATTTTGTTTGCTTTGGAGCAATTATTGCTGCCTCATGCCAGAATCCTCGAATGTCAGTGATGGGGCAGAAATGACAATCTTTTTTTGTTTTTTGCCTCAGTCATTCGTGCAAGTGTTCCCAAGTTGGAACTTGATTCGACATTTGAACAGAAGAATGACATAGCAAAAGCTGTAGAGGATGAACTTGAGAAGGTATATCTTATCATTCAGGTACTCCTTGATGATTTCATTGAAGGGGACTGTGTTTATTATCTATTCTGTAAGTGCAGGCTATGTCAGCTTATGGATATGAGATTGTTCAGACTCTCATTGTAGATATCGAACCAGATGTGCATGTGAAGCGAGCAATGAATGAGATAAATGCAGGTAGACTCCTGATTTCGTTTATGATGATAGGATGTTGCATGTTTCATTTCTTTTACTTAGTTTACAAAAGGGGTGCCATACTGAAATTGTTTCTATTGCCCTATTAAAAAGAAAGTTTTCACCCATTGATGAGTTCCTGCAGAATCAATGAATCTTGATGGCTCCTGTGGGATATATGTTTAAGCAATATAAGAGTGTTTGTTTGTTAACCTAACCCGCAAAAGTTAAAGTTGAAATATCTAGAGCACCAAGATAGGCAATTCTATTGGTTTATTTCCAGACAAGGAGTGCCTAATGTGTGTTGCTGTTGTGCGTTTCCTGGAGAATTTCAGGTAAGTCTTGGAAAGAGTCGGATTGTTGACCATTGCAAAGCAGGGATTAATTGATCCACTTTTTAAAATCTAAATTGTGCACACATGATGTCCTCACATGAGTCATCAACTTCCAAATGCAAAGATAAATCAAATCCTGTTGGTATGGCTGCTAAATGTGCTTTAGAAAATATCTTAAAAATCTAGCTTCTGTTGAGGAAGTTATAATCCTGACCAAGATTCCCCTTGTAGTTAGGTTGACAAATAACGTCTATCTTAATAAAAATCATGCGGCACAAGTAGATTAATGGTATTCACTTGTTTTGCGTAATTGTCAGCTGCGCGGTTGAGAGTGGCTGCAAACGAGAAAGCTGAAGCAGAGAAGATTCTGCAGATCAAGCGAGCTGAGGGAGATGCAGAGTCCAAATACTTGGCTGGACTCGGGATAGCGAGGCAGAGGCAGGCTATCGTGGATGGGCTGAGGGACAGCGTGCTGGCTTTCTCCGAGAATGTTCCTGGAACAACTTCAAAGGATGTCATGGATATGGTCCTGGTCACCCAATACTTTGACACTATGAAGGAAATCGGTGCATCCTCGAAATCCAGCACTGTTTTCGTCCCACATGGTCCCGGTGCTGTGAGGGACGTCGCGTCCCAGATCAGGGAGGGTCTCCTTCAGGCGCATGCCACGCAGTAAGTCGAGTATATAAATGGGGCCGTGGTTTCACTTTCACCGAGCTGTTATATGATGGTAAATGAGCGCTTGGTGATATATTTTCTTTGCACTTTGTTCTTCGTCCGTTTCCTTCTGTTTTTACCTGTCAAACTCAAATAGACGTGAACTGTCATTTAAATAAGGAGTTTCAGGATGTTGATACTGGTGAATCCTATCTGGTTATCGTTTGAGGAGAAGTGGGTGCAAATCTTAAGAATATAAGTTTAAGGACGACATTACATATTAGGTTAAAGTTCATGATCGATGTTTTTATAAATGGTGTATTCATAGGTTGGCTCTCGCCTAGTGCCATGGAGTGAAAGTGCTACTTTTTATCGAGAATGATTCATCTCTTTGTTTCGCTAGTAAATGAACCAAATCATTGTTGCCAAAATGATCTCCATCTAAATTTTAGGTTCATCAGAAATGTCCACCTTATCTTTCTTAGGCCAACATCACTTGTACAACCCCGTGTGATGTGGACTATGGTCATAAACTTAATGTAGCGGTTTGCGCATACATGGTTCCCAATTGGATAAATCTATCCACTACGTTAAAGCAAGTTAGTATCTTTTATGCCATCACAAATGCATCCGGACGGGTTTCTTCTATGTACTCATGATTGGATTTTTTTTTTTTTTATGTACTCCTCTAAGTTCAAGTGATGTTGGTCAACATTGACTAGTTTTTTCTCCATCTAATACCTATTATTAACACCCGTGGCTGCGAGTCGCTTGTCACACGTATGATCAATAATAAGATATTGGGAAAAAACCACCAAAAATCCCAAATTTTGCTATCTGTAACACATTTACCCCAAACTTTTTTTTTTCATACCAAAAACCCCGAATTTTGCTTTTTGTGACACATTTACCTCAATGTATTTAGTCCATGGGCATTTTTGTCTTTTTTGCTTTGTCTTTTTTTTTTTCCTTTTTTTTCCTTTTCGGCGAGGGGGGGCCTCGCCGGCGTCGGGCGAGGGCTGCCCATCGCCGGATCCGGCGAGGGGGCCCTCGCCGGCGGCTCGAGCGAGGCGGCCCTCGCCATCCGGCGAGGGCGGCCCTCGGCGCGTTGGGCGAGGTTCGCCCTCGCTCGGGCGAGCGAGGGCGGCCCTCGCCCAGCTCGAGCGAGGTCGACCCTCGCCGGCGTTGGGCGAGGTCGACCTCGCCCGAGTCGACAAGGGCGCCCTCGCTCGCCCGGGCGAGGGCGACCCTCGCCGGCGTCGGGCGAGGTCCGCCCTCGCACAGGGCGAGCGAGGCGGCCCTCGCCCCGTCTGGCGAGGTCGACCCTCACGGCGAGGCCGCCCTCGCTCGCCCGGGCGAGGCGACCCTCGGCGCGTCGGCGAGGTCGACCTCGCTGGGCGAGCAAGGGCGGCCCTCGCCGTCGCAAGAGTCGACCCTCGCCGCGTCGGGCGGCCCTCGCCCGGCAGCCGGCGGCGGCCCCTCGCTTGCCCGGGCGGGCGACCCTCGCCGGCAGCCGGCGAGGGCGGCCTCGCCGGATCGGGCGAGGGCGACCCTCGCTCGGCGCCGCGAGGGTCAACCTCGCAAGATCGGGCGAGGCCGCCCTCGCTCGCCCGGCGAGGGCGGACCTCGCCGACGCCGGCGAGGTCGCCCTCGCACAGGCGAGCGAGGGTGGCGCTCGCCCGGAGCTCGGCGAGGTCGACCTTCGCCCGACGCCGGCGAGGGTTGACCTCGCCGAGTCGGGCAAGGGCCGACCTCGCTCGCCCGAGCGAGGGCGAACCTCGCCCGACGCCGGCGAGGGCCGCCCTCGCCCGACGCCGGCGAGGGCCTCCCTCGCCGGAAAGGAAAAAAAAAGAAAAAGCAAAAAAGACGAAAATGCCCATGGACTAAATACATTGGGGTAAATGTGTCACAAAAAGCAAAGTTCAGGGTTTTTGGTGTCACAAAAAAAAGTTCGGGGTAAATGTGTCACAGATGACAAAGTTTGGGGTTTTTGGTGGTTTTTTCCCTAAGATATTTGTTAAAGAAAAGAAAAGAAAAAAAACAGAGCACTAGTTTGGGCCTAGAAAAACGGCTGGGCTGGTCTGTGTGGGCTGAGCCAATCTTTTTTCTAAGATACTTGGCCCGTGCGCAACCCTACTTAAAATACCTAATTTCACATATACCGAATTAATCTCATCGCCATTCCACCACCACCTCTTTTTCTTGGTCCTCCTTGGATTTTAGTATCATCATTTAGCTGAAATAGGAATCTTCTACTTTTCTCCAAACCATTCCCACAATTCCAAAGTTCGACCAACTTGTGATCATCTGTCACTGTCAGTAGCCAATAAAAACGTAGGACCAACAAAGTATGACGCGTTCCATCAAAGAGCCTTTCCCTCGACTAGCAAACACTGGCAATTTCTAACACGAATTGATGTATTTTAATGCGAGCATTGATAGAAATCCCATCCGATCGTGACATGCACTCACAACTATTTATGGTGACACGGTCCGAGAGGATTACAAAATTCGAATGCGTAAAGTGCGCTGGCTAATGCCAAAGGAAAGGAAAAATCTCTTGTGTGCTACTCATGGTGAAATGGTCCTCTTCTTTGTTGTCCTGACCCTACATATGGTTCTTTTCCATTAGTTTCAGCAGCATTAGCAGTAGCAGACACCAACGTTGGACCCAAAAGTTGGCATTTGCGTCGCGTCTCGGTGTCAGAAACTTAGAATGAAAAATTGAAAAAAAGGGCATGCTTTTAAGAATACAGCTCAAGAGCGATGTCTTAAAGAAGAAAAAATTTCAATTTGCGCACGCTTGGCTTTGTCCGGATAAACATTACGACGGGGGCCAAGTGGATAAGTACACTTGAGTAATAAATGTCGATTTAGATCGGATGTAAAATCATTTTGGTGCGGATGCTACGGACATAGGAAGATCGAGGGTCTATCTTTTTACGTCTTCGTATTCCCTTAAAATTTAAAACATTGTTAAGTATGTGTGAATTTATATATCGATAATTTGAATATCGTGAAAATTTCAGAATATTTGAGTGTTTTGAGTTAAAAAAAATAAAATAGGATTACTAAAAAAACCCATCGAAGAAACCAATTGGTCTCTGCTCTTCTTTCGCGATGCGGATGTACGGAACAAATTGCACGCGTCGATACCTTAGCTCGTCTGTGTGGCCGAAGCGACGTATTGCGACGTGGAATACAGAGTCAAGCTGCACAAAACTTCACAAAAAGCCAAGCCTTACCAGTAATCAAAAGGGACCCCCACTCGAGCGTCGGATGTCACGACAGTTTCGCATTAATCAAATCTGTGGGGCACAAAATGGAAATGGGAACGCGATCTCCTTTTCAATGTCTGCATCATCGTTTCTTGCTGCCCGAAAACATCAGCTCCACCAACACCCACGTCCACGCAAAGTTCTTCGCCCGTATGCAGAAACCAATCAAAGATCCAGTAAAGCAGAGCCTCTGTAGATATAGATGATTGAACTCGGCTTGAATGACAGGTATGGCGTCGAAGAGAAGTGGGTACCCGAAGCATTTTGGATATTCATCAGCATAAGGGCCCGTTTTGGCAACGTCTGAAAACAGTGAAAATTTCGTTCTTTTGTTAAAATAGTTTGGGAACGCAATGCGTTTGTAAACTTTTTGTTCGAGGCACATTTTGCAAAAATTTGTGCTAGAAAGCATTTTGAAAGAGAAACAAGAAGTACAAAAGAAGTTCTTCTTGTTTCTCAGATTTGAGAATCAGTTTTTCTTCTTTTTTTTTTTTTTTTCTTTTCTTATTTTTGTGTTGTTCTTCCCTGAAATTTGGGCCGGTCGGCGCGGCCACGAGCGGGCCGGCGCGAGCGTCACGGCCCTCGCCGGCGGCCAGCGGGAGCGAGGGTCGCCCTCGCCCGGATCGAGCGAGGCGAGGCCTCGCCGTCGGTCAGCGGCGGCAAGGTCGGCCTCGCCCGGAGACGGCGAGACTCGGCCTCCCCAAATTTGGGCGAGGCTCGGGCGGCGAGGGCCGTGACGCCCTCGCCGGCGAGGGCGACCCTCGCCTTCGCCGGTGGCCGGCGAGGGCGACCCTCGCCTTCGCCGGTGGCCGGTCGTCGGCAACCGGCCATGGCCAAAGAAGAAAATGGTAGAAAGAAAAAAAAATTAAACAATTCAAAATATTATTAAAATATTATTTGGGAACGAAATTTTGTGTAGTTACTAAACGCATTTATCTTTTCTACTCTAGGAATAGAAATTTTGAACAGGTTTATCAAACGCCTTCAAATACTCAGAAATTGTTTCCGGGCACAGAATAAAAAAAAATCATTTCTGTTCAGAAATAGTTTCCGGGCACAGAATGGTATTCATGCGCACCCTAAGCGTTCAGATATAGTACTGTTTGACTTTTGCGCGAGATCCCACGGGGAGAGAGAGAGAGCACGCTTTTTTCGTGGAACCTAGTACACTTCGGTGGTGGAACCAAGGGTGAGCATACTTTCAGAGCAAAACGTGAAATTGAACAACCTATAATCGGATTGGTGAGAACCTATGCGGTTCCAACTTTCAAGATATGTAGAATAGGTTCCGGCTCATAAAAAATTAGGAAATCTATTCTGACGGGTAGGTTTCAAGTTTCTAAGGGCGTGTATGGTAACATTTTTATTCCAGAAATCAATTTCTGGCCAGAAATAGATTTTCTATTTATATTTCGTGGACGAGTTTCTAAGCAAAAATGTGTGTTTGATAACGACACAAAATTTCTGTTTCCAAAATAGAAATTCGTTTGATAACAATACAAATTTCTATTTTCCGGAACAAAAATCTATTCTTTTAGAAATGGAATAAAAAAATTAGAAAATCTGGAAAATTCCAAAAATCTAAAAAAAATTCAGAAAATCCATAAAAATTGAAAAATTCCACAAAAATTCATAAAAATTTCCAGAAAATAAAAAAAAGTCAGATTTTGGGAAAATAGGAAATTTGTTGAATTTTTTTAAAAAAAAATCAAAAATTTCAAAACTTCACAGAATGGCTTAGAATACCTGTGACTACTCACTTTGAGTGAAATTTAAATTTTTTGAGGTGCCCAAAAAAATCAAAAAATTAAAAAAAATTAATTTCACTCAAAGTGGGTGGCCACAGGTATTTTAAGCCATTCTATGTAGTTTTGAAATTTTTTAAATTTTTTTGGGCACCTCAAAAAATTTAAATTTCACTCAAAGTGGGTGGCCATATGTATTCTAAGCCATTTTGTGAAGTTTTGAAATTTTTGATTTTTTAATTTTTTTGGGCGCCTCAAAAAATTTAAATTTCACTCGAAGTGGGTGGCCACACTAAGCCATTCTGTGAAGTTTTGAAATTTTTTTAATTTTTTTAATTTTTTTGGGCACCTCAAAAAATTTAAATTTCACTCAAAGTGGGTGGCCATATGTATTCTAAGCCATTCTGTGAAGTTTTGAAATTTTTTATTTTTTAATTTTTTTGGGTGCCTCAAAAAATTTAAATTTCACTCAAAGTGGGTGGCCACAGGTATTCTAAGCCATTCTATGAAGTTTTGAATTTTTGAATTTTTTGTTTTTTTTGGCACATCAAAAAATTTAAATTTCACTCAAAGTGGGTAGCATAGGTATTCTAAGCCATTCTATAAAGTTTTGAAATTTTTTATTTTTTTGGAAAAAATTCAACAAATTTCCTATTTTCCCGAAATCTGACTTTTTTTTATTTTCTAGAATTTTTTATGAATTTTTCTGGAAATTTTCAATTTTTATGGATTTTCTGGAATTTTTTTTGGGCGGTGGCCGGCTGACGGTGGCGGGAGGTGGCCAATGGCTGGCGGTGGCAGGAGGAGACCGGCGGCAATAGCGAGTGGCGGCGGGGGTGGCCGGCTTGTAGCGAGGGCGAGCGATGAGAAGAGTTGCCAATTTCTAATTTCTGTTTCAGAAATAGAAAAGTAAATTTTTTTAACTTCTGATTTCTATTTCAAACCTATTTTTGGAATAGAAATTTGTTTCAGAAATAGAAAAATGAAATTGCGTTACCAAACGGATTTCTGTTCCAAACCTATTTCTGGGAACAGAAAAACAGAAATTATCAATATTTGGCAAGTTACCATGCGTGCCCTAAGTAGGTGAAACCTGGAATAAGTTTTTGTATTTCTCTTGGTCTCTGTCTTCGCGTGATCCTGCGGTATTCCATGGCGTTCGATAACGACTGTATAATCTAGAACTACTAGTCCGTGCTTCTATTTTACGATCGAAACTTTTATTTTGTTAATATTTCATATTTTTCGTATGTATAAATATAAGTTGTGGTCAATGAATTGTAACAGCAAGTGGTGGCTATTAAAGATGATTATTTTATTACAATCGTGCAATTAATAATATAGGTGAAACTAGGATAGGTTCTAAATAATGGAACCTATTTCAATGGGTAGTTTTCAGGTGGAACTAGTACTAAACCTAAAACCACTCACCCTTAGTGAGACCTGGTCCGAGTGCCCAGAACATGATTGCTTTCTGAAAGCAAATGAAAAATCGAAGGATGACATTGCACGTTGAGTCATGTGGAGACAACTTTGCTCGCTTGGACCAAAGCCGAGGGACTATTTGTGCTATTATCCCCTTTCCGGAAGCATGTCCTCAAAGGAAGCCGGAACCCATGCTATCGATCGCCCACCATGTGATTTGATGGTTTCTTTTTCTTGATTTTGTTCGGGAGAAGAGAAAGCTCGAGCATTTATCTGCAGAATAAAACCTATTCGAACTAAATTCAGAACGAGCTGTCCGCATTATGAATTCCGGATGCTCATAAGTTCAGAAATTGGATTCATAAGTTATACATTCGTCGAAAGATGAAGCTCTAACTCACCACAGATCAGCTTATTGAAAATCCGGTTACGCATAGAAAAATATTATGCAGGACTTACATAGTGAATGGAGAGTTAAAAAAAAAGGCTCCAACAGTTTAGCAGAAAATGAATGATTACCGAGACGTTTTCCTAAAAACGATTATTCATATCGATGAACATAAAATATTCCATAAGTTATTGTCGATAATAAAAATATTTCGAATCTATTAATTATTTCAAGCGATATTAACGATCATTTTTATGAAAATAATTTTAAAATTGTTTATTTCTGGCGAAACAACTATAGCGGAAATTTTTTTTTTGTAGAGAGTCTGGTATTTGTGCACGACGACGATACGACGTGCCCCGAAGGCCGTGGGTGGGCCTAACGGGAAGAAGAAACCGACTTCCGCGTCGTCAACGGGAGACCCACTCGTTTTTTTAAGAACGTTGGTAACCAAACGGATTATTGTTTTTTTTTTTTTTTGGGGTGGCAGATTCATGGGTTAAATTGGTTAGGCACGGTAAAGTAAAAATACACGGTAAAAATTAACTGCGCACTTCCCTTTTTTCTTTAAAAAGAATTTCCGTTCCTCCGCGTAACGGACAGTCGGCCTCCCTCTTCCGTTCCGTTCCCGCCCCGCCCCCCCCCCCCCCCCCACCCCCCTATATAAAGCCCGGACCGGAAGTATCTTCCCGGTCAATTCCGCCGGCGCGGCCTCCTCCCTCGCCAGGTCTCTCTCTCTCTCTCTCTCTCTCTCTCTCCTCTTTCTCTCTCTTCTCTCTCGCGCTCTGTCTCTTCTGCTGCGTTGCGCGAGAACTAGGGTTTCGCGCGGGACGAATGTTGTGTTTTTTTCGAAGCGTGATTGTAGGCATCTGCTCGGGACGGTGATAGCGCGATTTCCACGAGGTTGAGTCGAGTCCGGGTTGGCCGGAATTGAATGTTGAGACCGGTTTTTCACTAAAGCCGAAATGCGTATTTCGTCGTTCCGTGATCTCGTGCTCTGACAATTTCGCGGAGCTCCCTCGTCATCTGTTTCCGTGGCTTCGGGGTAGGTTCCTCCCGCGCGAAAATGAACGTAGTCGCATCGGTCGAGCGGTGTAGTCTGCATCTTATTTCGTGCGCTATGCGGAAGAATTTGCGTGCAAGTATTGTTATCTCATTTGAACGCAGGAGCTAGGAATTGAGTGTCCTTTGCCGTCTTATTTATTATTATTATTTTTTATGTTGGTTCAAGCTGTCTTATTCGGTAGTTGTCGATTAGCACTTTTCTCAATTGGATGTTTAATGGTGAATAGACCCGAGGAAGGTATATAATGCTTATCCTTGACCTGTTGGCTGTTGAAATTTCGCCGCCCCATCAATTGTCGACGGATGCATCTTACCACTTTAGTGTAATGGTCCTTAGTCGTGCGATCGATGATTGTTTGACGGAATCATTTCTTATCTCCTAGTTCGGTTCGACTATAGCCTTACGAAAAAAGATAATAGACGACCAAAATCTATTTTTCGAAAACTATTTTCTACTACTCTCCCCTGCATTGTAGTCAGGTCGAGCGTACGTTGTTTGCCGGCCTTGCCTCCATTCACTTTGTTGCATCCACACCGTAGGATAGGAGGCGAGCGGTGTTTCTTACTGGAAGCGCTCCGAGGTATATGTCGTAGACAATTTAAGTATTTTGTCTTCGGCTTCAATGAGGAGCGATATGCAGGGTCTATAGAGCTGTATTTGATATAATGTCATTGACTGGGTAAAATATAGCAGTTTTAACCCCACCGGATCTGAACTAGCTGGTTTAATTATTTAAGTTAAATTTGGGTTTGGTATGGGAAAGCCAAATATGAGAAACACATCATATGTTTCGCGTTACTATCCTTTTGAAGTCTGTATACGCTACCCCCCCCTCCCCATATAAGGACTTAGAATTGTCTGGGGCTCTTTCAAGAAGGCGATTTTTTTTCATGAGTGGTAGATTTTAGTGTTTGTGGTGTCTTCCAGGTACTTTTGCACAGATAACAGAATTCAGTTGAGCTTTTAGCTTTTTGTTACATCTTGCATAAGCAACCAGTGTTGGTGATTTATTGTTGAAGTGATCTCTCTCTCTCTCTCTCTCTCTCTCTCTCATGCACAGGCGTCTGTTTGTGCCTAAACTGTGCATGCATCTTTTCCCTTTTGTGTCAATTTGACTCCATCTGTTGGCAGGCTAAATGCTGCGTGTAGCTCGTTTAACTTGTCTATATCTCTATACCTTTTTGGCATTAAGAATCTGAACCAATTAATTGTTGCATTATAGAACGGAGAAATGGGACAAGCGTTGGGATGTATTCAGGTGGACCAGTCAACTGTAGCTGTTAAGGAAACTTTTGGCAAGTTTGATGATGTGCTGGAGCCTGGATGCCACTGTTTGCCCTGGTGCTTGGGGAGCCAGGTGGCTGGTCACCTCTCTTTACGCGTACAGCAGCTGGATGTCCGGTGCGAAACAAAGACAAAGGTATGATGGCTATTTGACCCATCCCGAGTACAAGAAAATATACCTTCGTTTAATCTGTATTCATTTGAGAATTTCGGAGGAGTTTTCTTAAATTTGAGTTGGAGATGTTTGAAGTTTTCTCTAAATGGTTTGGTTGTTCAGAAGTCCTTTAAGTAATGTAGTGTCATCACTTAAATAGAACCAACATGGGGAACTTCACCATCCTATGCTTCGATTTTATTGTTTTGGCAGACCTATGGCATACAGAAGCACGAAATCACGACTTAATATTCCCGACTATGCTTCTAAGGTTTTTTTTTCATAATGCAATATGACCTCTCTTTGTTGTTTCAGGAGTGACTTAAAGTATTTCTAAGAGCGCTGGCTATGAGATTTCATTCATAATGCATAGATACATGTTTTCCTGGTTTCTGTGGAAGTTGATTAGTTGCTAGCATAAGCACGTGTGTTGGCTGGAAGCTGTGGCTTTAGAATTGGCACCACTTTTATGTTTTCATTTGTTGTAAGGTTCAGTTTAGAAGCATCAAGCGGGGTGCCAAATTAGAAAGGGAAACAGCACAAGCCCAACAAGGAGCTTATTGGCATCAAGTTATTAGTGTTTTTTACTCAATGTTGACCAGTCAGTATATGTTGATAGACGACTTTATCTCCAGGATAATGTCTTCGTCACGGTAGTTGCTTCCATCCAATATCGAGCACTGGCAGAAAAGGCGTCCGATGCTTTCTATAGGCTCAGCAACACCAGGGCGCAGATTCAAGCCTATGTCTTTGATGGTATGGTATATATATATATATATATGTATGTATGTATGTATAAGTTTGACGTTATTAAGCATGGACACATAACATAATCCCTTAAGAAAGAGGAATGTATCTCTGGTACAGAAGGCAGTGGTCAAGTTGCTGTACCCTTCTTGATAGACATGTGGTCAGAATAGTTTTGTTTTTGTTTTTGACACGGTAGCGTAAAGTTTTTGCAAAGAAGATGGATAATGGTTATTCACGCACATGAAGAGATAGCAGTTTCATAGTAAGCTAAATTGTAAGATTTGGCTAAATTGGACTGTTTTGTCATGTCTACGTGAGTTGCTAACTATTACCACGATATTTAAAACCTTCTTTTTCCGAGTTGTATTTTTGGAAGACTTATTCGGAGCGGAATGTTTATTGAAAATTCTTCCTCCGGCATTTTAGCAACATGATGCAACTTAAATATCTTTGGTATATGCTAGCGAAAAGAAGAATTCCCCTTCCCTCTCTTCTCCTTGGTCAATTCAAACTTTTCATCTTTATGTTGGGGCAACAGAAGTAATCAGAGTTTGAGCTAGTTTACTTATTTTTACCGTTTCATGAAGCATTGATTTAGTGCATATTTGAGATGAATATTCGTTTGCATGTCGTGGGATCTTAACACGAAATCTTTGAATGCACTAAATTGTTGGCTGTATTGTTTGCTTTGGAGCAATTATTGCTTCCGCATGCCAGAATCCTTGAATGTCAGAGATGGGGCAGAAATGACATTTTTTTTTTGTTCTTTGCCTCAGTCATTCGTGCAAGCGTTCCCAAGCTGGAGCTTGATTCGACATTTGAACAGAAGAATGAAATAGCAAAAGCTGTAGAGGATGAACTTGAGAAGGTATATCATATTATTAAGGTACTCCTTGATGATTTCGTTGAAGGGATCTGTGTTTTATATATCTATTCTGCACATGCAGGCTATGTCAGCTTATGGATATGAGATTGTTCAGACTCTCATTGTAGATATTGAACCAGATGAGCATGTGAAGCGAGCAATGAATGAGATAAATGCAGGTAGATTCCTGATTTCGTTTGTGATGATAGGATGTTGCATGTTTCATTTCTTTTACTTAGTTTACAAAACGGTTGCCATACGGAAATTGTTTCTTTAGCCCTACTAAAAGGAAAGTTTTCACCCATTGATGAGTTCCTGCAGAATCAATGAATATATGTGTAAGCAATATAAGAGTGTTTGTTAACCTAACCCGCAAAAGTAAAAGGTTGAAATATCTAGAGCACCAAGATAGGCAATTCTATTGGTTTTTTTCCAGACAAGGAGTGCCTAATGTGCGTTGCTGTTATGCGTTTCCTGGAGAATTTCAGGTGAGTCTTGGAAAGAGTCAAATTCTTGACCATTGCAAGACAGGGATTAATTGATCCAAATTCTTTAATCTAAATTGCCCACACATGATGTCCTCACATGAGACATCAACTTCCAAATGCAAAGATAAATCTAATGCTGTTGGTTTGGCTGCTAAATGTGCATTAGAAAATACCTTAAAAATCTAGCTTCTGTTGAGGAAGTTATAATCCTGACCAAGATTCCCCTTGTAGTTAGGTTGTCGAATAACGTGTATCTGAACAAAAATCATGCGGCACAAGTAGATTAATGGTGTTCACATGTTTTACGTAATTGTCAGCTGCGAGGTTGAGAGTGGCCGCAAATGAGAAAGCTGAAGCAGAGAAGATTCTGCAGATCAAGCGAGCTGAGGGAGATGCAGAGTCCAAATACTTGGCTGGACTAGGGATAGCAAGGCAGAGGCAGGCTATCGTGGATGGGCTGAGGGACAGTGTGCTGGCATTCTCCGAGAATGTTCCAGGAACAACGTCAAAGGATGTCATGGATATGGTCCTGGTCACCCAATACTTCGACACGATGAAGGAAATCGGTGCATCCTCGAAATCCAGCTCTGTTTTCATCCCACATGGTCCTGGCGCTGTGAGAGATGTCGCAACCCAGATCAGGGAGGGTCTCCTTCAGGCGCATGCTGCGCAGTAAGTCGAGTATATATATGGGGCCGTGGTTTCACTTTCGCCTGGCTGTTAATATGATGGTAAATGAGCGCTTGGTGATGTATTGTCTTGGAAAAAAAAAAAAAACTTAGAAGGATGTGAACTGTCGTCCAAATAAGGAGTTAATAGGATGTTGATACCGTAAAGTCCTATCTGGTTATCGTTTGAGGAGGAGACGATTTGTATTACATATTTTCCAGTATTATGAAAATGTGGGTGCAAATATTAAGAATGTAAGTCGTGGAGGCTTCTCCTATTGCTATTCGATATATGACTGGTGGATTCTTGGTGTTATAACGTGATAAATCTGAAGCTGAGGCGGGGTACGATGATGTCTAACCGATCGCCGGATGTGCAATTAGATTTGCGATCCCATACGGCGTGTGATCTTTTGAGTCTCTCTAGTAAAGTTGCTACCCGTCTGTTTCTTGAGGCTATGAATCTTATAACCGCTGCGATGGACACACGAGATTGGGCCTCTGTGGAGTTCTCTCCGTTTGAATCTTGCCTTCACAGCATGCGGAAAACGTGAACCTTCATTTAGGGGGGGCTAACGTGGAGGGTGTCCTGTTCACTCACCAACTGGGTGTCCTTCTCAAGCTATGTAGGTACTGAAAATAAACTTTTCAGACTAAAAACTCGGGAAATCTCCTGAATGTGGACGAAAATCAGCAGCGCGTGTCCAGAGTAACGTTGTGTGCCCAGTGACCTCACGTCTCCGCAACCCTTGGTAAACATGTTTTTGGGGTCGGCAGTGACAGCTTCACACGTGCAAAGGAGTACTACGACGACAAAAAGAAGTGGCGAACGTGTTCATTCCAAGGACAAATAAGGCGTACAGCCAACGTTCGAGGCACTGAAATGGGATAAAATGGGAGTACTGGAAAAAAAGTGGAAAATGACCGCACAGGATTTGTGTGCCCAGCTCGAATTATTTTATACAATCCATGGCCCACCAGACTCGAAACGAAACTGAGGGCAAAAGTTAAATCAAGAAAGACAAGATACACAGGTCTCGTTCTAACCCCTACCTTATTCCCTCCACCGAACTGAAACGGCGTTTTCTTCTTCTTTTTTTTCTTTTCGCGGAAGAACTGAAACAGCGTTTTTCGCTCATAAAATGAGGTGACCCCTACTCCGCACTATGGCTTCAGAGCCAATGCCAGCCCGATTTTGGCGCTCTTCTCGATGGCTCGCGTGTCGACTTCCCCTGAGATGGTGAACAGGGATTTTGGGCGCCACTCGTGCTGGATGAGAGCGCTCGCCCTGCCGTAGTTGTTCACCCGAGCCTTCACCGTGGTCAACGGGTCAAGCGCGTGCTGGGTGCCGATGGTGAGCATGTTCTCGTTGCTCGAAAAGCTGTGAGACAGCTCTGCCCCGACGGCAGTGCTGGTTAGCGGGCTGACCGTGTGGTAGTAGGAAGCACTGAGGGTATCGCCCTTGTCATTCCTGTGTATGCAAAACAAATACCCCTATCAGGGATGCAAGAAAACCTTAACAGGAAAATTAAACATTCAGTGCTAAGTGACACTCTGCTACAAGCAAGCAATCAATACTTCCTAGGCAGCTGTACATGTTAGTTACCCAGAACAAAGAGATAAATCCACTTGTCTATATTCCCATGAAAGATTATAAGTCATTGAACCCAATCGTATAATGTATTTATCGAAACATGATGATATGATATGTACACGAAAATGGATGTGGCAAGGGCACAAAATACAATGAGAAAGAAGGGCGCAGATAACCCTTTTTCCTGGATTCAAGAACTCACAATGTCAAGGATGCGATAAGATCAGCATTCATGAAACTAAATCCAGCATTGCACTTGGTGAAGTTTCCAGTGGCAGTGTCGAAGGAAAGATCAGTTCCAAGAGCAAGAGCGTTGTTTCCAACCACTCCAGAGAAATTAACAAAGGGATTTGCAGTCAAACCTATACTTGTGCTTATCCCAGCGTACTCATGCTGGTATTGGAGTTCCACCTATTACCATATGACCATAAATCAGATTGAGAAGCATCCAATTTACATGGAAAAACAAAAGATACTGAAAAGCGAATGAGTGACATCACACTTTTAGAGCAAATGGAAAAGGTTCTCACCTTACCAGATCTCTGGTCAGGAACAATGAAGCTAAATATTGTCTTGAGCCCAGGAGCAGGTTCGTCAACGGTAATGGTAGTAAAGAGCTACATATGCACAAAACAAGAATAGAAAACAGTTCAACATTAACAATCCAAACGATCATAATTTTTCACATGAAAACAAAAATTGAATATTGCTATCCGTACAGAGAAAGATGATCCATATGGAAAGCCTACATGCTCTCTCTCTCTCTACGCATGCACGCAAGCAAACAGAGAATCACAGGAAAATTAACTGATAATGCCCTTAAGGGCTTAGACACTAACGTTGGAATTGGTGTCCACTTTCACATCAGTGGTGATGTTTTTGTTCTTCAGTTGAGCGCTCACATCAGCCAAAAAAAACTCTCCTTTCTTGATTCCCGTAGAAGTGAGTGCCTGAAATACATTAACAAGAGAACGATCAAACACACCACTCATGTACAGCTTAGCTGAAACCTCATAATAAGCTAGTATTTTGCAAAATGGGCACACCATCAACCTCAGCAGGAATATGATCGACCTTAAAACCCATACAAGGCATCGACAAATGCCAACATAGTTTAGACATTTCGGCCATCGATATTCCCACACGTAATTTTTGGTAAGGCCTTAATTTGCTGGTAAAACTAGATACATCAAGATAGGCCATACGAGGACGAAAACTTAACGCAATAAAGGTAGCCACACCAGGGAAAAAGAGAATCTCAACGAGCAAGGTCCTCCCCATTTGATGGCTTGAATAGAATGGATCAACAAACACCCTTTCCCCAGGGATAAACCTCAAGCCAGCAAAAGGACTCTAGACGAATGAAATATGAAAGAATGTGGTAATGGCCGCGACAATTCCATATCTTGGTTTAAAAGTCAGTATTGCTTTCAGCTTCAGAAAGCCAAGGTGATGGTCACTTCCGAAAATGACTCAACAATGCAAAACGCATAAACCAAAAGTTTACATCAGACAAACGATAGTAGTAATTAAACCTCACTCGAAAACGAACCTTTCCTTTCGCATAACGAACTATCACAAGCCAATTAGCAAAGCGATTATCTACAGCCGAGTCAAACGGAATCCGGTATTTCTGGTAGCAAGCAAACCATTAATTCAAACTCGACGGATCTGCCACAATCCCGTACATAGAGTAACAGCTCCCAAAGTTACCATTTCATTTCTCAAAGACTTAATCAAAACATCAAGCAGAAGCTGCAGATACCGTCGCCTAACATGCCTAAACTCGAACCCACAAAAAAGAACGCATCCACCGCACTCCTCAATAACCAGATCACAACACCAAGTTCCTCCGAAAAGAATCAAACGTGAACTCAAAACGGGATATAAAAGCGACGGCGAAACCGGTACGTTCAATTCATCTACTCGGTTCAGCATCCGTACGGTACAAGAAACACCAATCCAGTATATCCACGTTACGCAAATCAGAGCTCAAAGAGAGCCGAAACCAAAAAAACGGCGACTCGAGAAACAAGAGCTGGCTGGCCGACGAAGGGAAAGGGAAGCTTACCACTCCGGTGGAAGTGTAGGTAGTGATGGTGAACTTGTGGTCGCTCTGGTAATCCTTGTACAGAAGATCTGCGCCACAGAACCCAAGAAATCGCGCGCGCGCCAGAGCACGCGAGCGCACAGGAAAAAGCTATTAGCTCCAAATGAGCAGCGACAGCAAGCATCACGACGCGACCGAACTAGAAACCCAAAAAGAAGGCAAAGGAAAAGAAAGTACGACAGAGCTGAAAGAGCGAAGGGAGGAGACGAGCCTCTGGCTTTCTTGCCGATGTCGGAGTAGAGACCGGGGCCTTTCGCCATGATTTGCAAACCCTGTTTGATTTTCCCACCCCCCACCAACTTCCCTTCTTTCCCGAGAAAATGGAGACGAGGAAAATGGAGAGGGGCCTCACCGAAGGATCTCTCTCTCTCTCTCTCTCTCTCACTGTGTCGCTGCGAAGGGGTAAGGGGAAGGGGGAAAAATGGGAAGCGAGTTCGGTGAGGGGCGTGTTTTAATGAAGGGAACCCTGCGATTAATGGCGAACGGGGGAGAAGAATCGGGATTTTTAATGGCGAGGCGCGACGTGGAGCGTCGGATGAGAAGGGATTCGCGATCTGAGGCCGTCGATTCGAGGCAAGAGAGGGACAGAGAGAGAGAGAGAGGGAGTACAGGGGTTGTTGAATGTTGAATGTCGAATGTCGAGGAAGGGCTTGGGAATCAAGCCGGGTGTTGAGGCATATTCGCCCTCACCCCCCCGCCCCGAGTCTCTCTCTCGCTTTTTCGACAGCGTTTTTCTCATGCTACGACGGCAACCAAAACAAGCAAAAATTCGATTAATGACGTCATTGGTCTCCCTCGAACTTCTTCGGTGCTTTTCCTATTTCTGCGACATCCAAAATGCCCCGCGAGAGTTTTTATAAAAAAGAGAAACAGATAAACCAAAGAAAATCGGGGAATCGAACTAGCGGTCGGAATGAGATGATCCGGTTGGATCGGTTCGATCGACTGCCGCAGTTTCCAGATGCTGGCACTCGTGACATGATACACTACTGTAGCACCACGTGCTTGACAATATAGATATAGACTTGAAGGACGATTTACAATTCATCTCAGCAATTGGCATTTTAATTTAGCGGATGGGTCCTTATATAATCTGACAGTATGCATTATAAAAATTTCCATAGTCAATAACGGCTGCCAAAAGCCAAAGAAAGAAAAAACAAATTTGCGTAGTGAACTGGCTAGGAAGGGCTGCTGCAGTTGAACATTAGTGCTGCTCCCCCTTCCTAGCGGCTCACATAAAGAGAAATTGAGGAGAGCAAATAAAATGGAAAAACGAAGACGCCAAACGAGAATAGCTTAATCTCAAGTACTATTGAGAACTTCGTAGGATTTTACCAGACTTCTACGTATCGATAGCGTATACACAAGTATATTCTTTTACAACAGAACTGCTCTTGCAGAAGAGTACAATCGTGGAACAACATTTTCCAGCAGAATACTGCACGATTTCCACGGGTTCGATCAATGCTCGATGGCATCTTCGTTATTCTTACATTTTAACAAAAAAAAAAAGAAAAGGTGTTACACGGGATGCAATCCCCGGGCCACTCTCTTATTCAATATACAGTCTATATCTGTAGTGATGGAGTTACCTGCAATCATCACTGAACTATTTGCTTCCAGCATCTGCATTTACCTTTTCGCTGGACCGAGTAACCACACCAAGTATAAATCGATATAATTTGTGCATAATTATATTGGAGTAACACGCCGTCGGGCTCGGGTATGCTCCAACTGGCTCGAGGATATACTCGAGGGGACTTCATCCATGAACATTCTGGTGACTGAATCCATACGGTTGGGAATGAATGCTACTATATGATAACATTAAGAAGCTTCCCAAACCTTGTAATCTCTTCCCTCGAGGACCGGAGACCATTTCTGGGGCCCGCTTTGGGGTTCATAGTAGCCTGGTCCAATCTTCACTGCGACTTTCTCGTCGATAATGGCCGCATAGACGTCCCTCTCGGCCTTGGTTATTTTGATCTACAACAGTGAAAGAGTCCACAGTAAATAAACCTGCTAGCTGGTTTCCTAAGAAAGACTTAACCCATCCAGAGTCGTCACGAGTGCAGCTTAAAACAGTATAGTCCCATTAATACCGAAATAAAAAATAAAAAAAAACATATCAAGTGGAAATATTCTAAGAAAAATGAATGGAGAGAACCAAAAATGTGATGTTTTTTCCCCGTCAGCCCATTCAAGATTTCTTTCACCTAACTAATTTAGCTTTCTCTCAATTTTATCTTTTGCTGAAAGGAGAAAAACTATTCTCCCCAATCCTTTCAAGTTTCTGAATGAAAGTTACATTTAAATCCGCGAGGACACAGCTCAACCTAGAAGCTTAACCCTTTTCTTGGTTTTCATTGTGCCACATGATGTTGGGAATTAAGCAGTGGCCGACAGGATTATTCCATCCTTCAATCTATACTTCTCTCCATTTTGTCCTTCTTTGATAGGATTTGGGTCCTTATTGAAAGAAACCCCTTCATCTTAAGGACTACTACTAGCATGTGCAAAAATTCTGCCCTGCATGCGCAAAGCACCTGCCACCTCATCTGTCCTGGAAGTGCCTCGCTCATTTGACTATTTTAACTCATTTTCTGGATTCCTGTTTTTGCATTTATCAACCAATCATGTTGCTTTGTAATAGTCATTCAGTGCTGACAAGAAGGTGGGCGGGTCTAAATATGATCTGGTTAATAGTAAGCAGTCTCCGTTACTTACAGTGCTCCTGCAATGGATCTTGTTGCGATTCCTGAGAGAGATAAGTGAAGCAATTTCAGATTGGTAGTGAGAGAAGATGTGGTCATAGAACACTGCTGGAGTTCCTGGGTGCGTCAAGGTATAGGCATATCCTTGCATTTCCTTTCCACTAGGAAATCTCCAATGACCCTTCAAGAGAACCAAAATAAAACATGCAATGAGATGTTGTCCTCCCAGTATCAAGTATTGACTCCAAGTGTTCCTTTTCTTCAGGGAATACACTCGGGATACTACGTACAGCAACTCTTCATTTTATATATATGTAAAAATGGCTACAATTGAACGAACTAAAAGCAATATACAGTGGGCACAATTTGCATAATTGGCCCTTCTTTTCAGTAATCAACAGCGAGGCTGCTCGTGATGTCGCTCATCTCTAGCTTTTACCTTTTCCTGTCCTCATGCATGCTCTAAAGCCACCTAGAGGAAAATGTTCAAGCTGACACAGGACATAGAAGCCCGTGGACTATTTCATTGGGTTTCTTTTTCTCAGGTCAGGTTGTGGCCATGTATATTTAACACGTTAGATACGTGGTTTACCTACAACCCAAATATTCTCGATTAAAGATGAATAATTGCACTCAGCATGGTGTTTCTTTTTTTTTTTTTTTTTAATTTCTTCGAACTCCTGCTTTAGCATGACACAAAGTACCTTTTTGAAACACAGTCCTCGAAAGGATTAAGATCAGATAAGGTGAACAAAGTAGCATCTACAAACTTCTGACCTGGGTAGAGCCAGTATCATGATTCTCTACAAATGTTACAGCTCGAGATGGCCACCATCCAACAACCCCTGGAGGTTTTCCCTTCTGATCAGATAGTCGCCAATATTCACATCTATCCAGCGCCTGCATGAAAATCATATAAGAGAAATTCTCGACATACAACTGGAAATACATACATCTAAGATATGTCCAACAGGAGGATAAGGAAGAAGTGGGTGCATGCAGTTTTATGTGCTCTAGATTCTCTATGATGTTATTAAAATTACAGTTATCCATAATGCCAGAAGTTGGCTTATGGATGAATGTTGAAACATCAGGTACACATCATTAAAACTTAGAGAAGGGTAACAAACTCTACAGATTCTATGTAATTTGTTCGTAAAGGTAGTGGCACCACTCCCGCCTACTTATATCCTTTAATTCAGTTAGAAAACACGAAGAACATCGGGAATCAAGAGAATTTGCTACTGAAGATATTCAGTGGTAAAGTTAATGCTCACACAAGTAATTTATAACAGCCCATCCTTCAGCAACCTAATTAGTGAGAATCATCAAGTGCAGATCATACAAGAGTTAAGGATTCAAGCCTGAGTTCTAGTCTACAGTTCACCTTCACCGGTAACATCCAAGAGCATGACTACTTTGAATAACAGTAGGTCCAGTAGCGTAATAGTTGTACATCTCTATTTGAAGCATAACGTGAACAAATTACTTGACATAGTATACATACGTATCCAAAAAAGAAAAACAAAACACTGAATGAATTTCCTCTATTTAGAGTCAGGGCACTTAACCAGAGTCTCTATGTTTCCAGAATACTTAAAAGGGCAACTTATCAGTGACGGTGCTTACGGCATGAAGAACTCCTTTTGTAGTGACATCAAATGCTCCAGCTGTGCCATTTGTAGCATTTATCCAGTCGACAATTCTCTGCCTGTGTGCATCTTGATTGTGATCCATTTCCCCATATGTATAGTTGAGAGAATCCCAGTACTCACCGACAGCAAAATAAGGCGCAGTAGCATCCAAGTAGTCTTTGACATAGCCACCCCAAAAGCCTCTAACAAAATCGAGCCTCCATCCATCATACCCAATTTCGCTCCTGAAAATGGCATGACACCAACAAACTTGCCATAGTAAGACCTTTAAAGGATTATCATCACAGAAACAGAATTTTGCATGAGAAGCGAGGCCATAAGTGCAACCAAATTAAAAGTCAGAAATCATCGGCAGAGGGTCAACTCGGATCCGGAAACTGACTTGAAGGAGGTTAGAACAAAGAGAGAGGGCACGCTTTCAGATACCCACTTAGTCAAGAGAAAACAGGGGGAATAAAGCCTCAAAAGTATTGAATAGTTCGCAAAATGAAAAGAAATGAGGTAGTCAGCCATTGCAACTTAGCTCTACCAGCATTCACAACCAAGAATAAAGCAGGCAGCATGTACTTGCAGCCACTCAGATATTCATAACCGAAAATTTACCAGTTGGGCTACCACTAAAGATAGTAAGTCGTACGATATTGAATTTGTAAGGAGAAAAGCCAATTTGAATATTTACACACACCAAGCCAACTTCTCCATGAAAACCCAAAACAATTACTTTGATCCATCCTTTTTCCGTTAGGGGAGCGGGCTGTCAGAATGATAAGAGGTATTCAGATGAACAGAGAAGGTATTCAGCATTAACCTCAGCCAGCATAACCATTCCTTCAGATCTTTCCGCACAAAATCTTGTGAGTGATCAATATTTGGGGCAGCATGAAAATTATCTCCACTACTTTTGTTGCCTCTACCCTGCGGCAGAAAAAAAGGTCACCAAACTGTCTAGGAGGGCAAATATGAATTCTTATGATGTTTAAATCACGATATCTAATTCAGAGTTCGAAAAGCATTACTGAGTTGTAGAGCATGCTCAAACCTCAGCATGAACCCAAACAGAAA